GAGTTCTAGTCCCGCCTTAGGCATGAAAGCCAGTTGGGTGACTTTGGGCCAATCCCCAGGAGACGGCGAGTTCTAGTCCCGCCTTGGGCATGAAAGCCAGTTGGGAGACTTTGGGCCAATCCCCAGGAGACGGCGAGTTCTAGTCCCGCCTTGGGCATGAAAGCCAGTTGGGTGACTTTGGGCCAATCACTAGGAGACAGCGAGTTCTAGTCCCGCCTTAGGCACAAAAGCTACCTGGGTGACTTTGGGCCAATCACCAGGAGACGGCGAGTTCTAGTCCCGCCTTAGGCATGAAAGCCAGCTGGGTGACTATGGGTGAATTCTAGTCCTTGGGTGCCTGGCACGCCATCCGCACTGCACGAGGCCTATTCAGGCCTGAGGTCTACCGCCTGCAGGCCGTGGGGCGGTGCCAGCCGCCGTTCTGCCCCCCAAAGAGGGAAAGAAGGGGAGGGCAAGAGAGAGAGAGAGACGCAGCAGGCTGCAGCCGCGGGCCAAGAGGAAATGACTGAAGAGCTTCCTGGGTCTATCCTGGCTGCCAGCGGGGCGATGCTCCTGGGTTAAATTTGGGGGCGCCCAACAAACGGCCCTCAATGGGTGGCCCCGAGAAACTCAGTCACTGGGACCCCCCTCCTGCTCCCCCATGCCTGGGAGGAGACACCCACCATCTGGAAAACCCCTCTCCAGCCGTCTCGGAAGTCAGGACGATTCTTCTTATCCGCTTCGGCTTGCAGGTACTTGCAGATGTGCTACAGGGGGGAGGGGGTGGGAGGAGGAAGAGGAGTAGGAGGAAGGCAGGTGAAAGAACAGCAGCCCCCACTGCCACCCCACCTCCAGCCAAGGCTAGGCAAACTCTCGGCATGCATGCAACAGCCAAAAATCACAGTCGTCGTTCAAAAGCAGGCCGAACGCAAACTTTTCACCTTTCAGTAAAAAGTGGTTTGCATTAGGGCAGTGTTTCTCAACCTTGACCATTTTAAGGCATGTGGACTTCAACTCCCAGAATTCCACAGCCAGCAATGCTGGCTGTGGAATTCTGGGAGTTGAAGTCCACATGCCTTAAAATGGTCAAGGTTGAGAAACACTGCATTAGTGCTTGTTTTCTGGGTTAGGGCTTATATTTGGGGAAATACGGTACTAAATGCTTCCCTCTGGCTGAGGATCTTAAATGGGGCTTATTTTCTGGTTGGGTCTTATATTCAGAGAAACACGGGAACAGTCTTCCAGTTTTTGAGGGGCTGCCCCAAAGAAGGTGTGTGTGTGTGTGTGTGTGTGTGTGTGTGTGTGTGTGTGTGTGTGTGTGAGAACCTATTCTCCAAAGCACCAGAAGGCAGGACAAGAAGCAACGGTTGGAAACTGATTGAGAAGCAACCTAGAACTAAGGAGGAATTTCCTGACGGTGACAACAATTAACCCGCGGAACAGCTTGCCACCAGAACTTGTGGGTGGCTCCATCACTGCAGGTGTTCAAGAAGAGATTGGGCAACCCTTTGTCCGAAATGGTCTAGGGTCTCCTGCTTGAGCAGGGGGTTGGACTAGAAGACCTCCAAGGTCCCTTCCGAGTCTGTTATTTTTTTTTTTCCTTCCTTCCTTCCTTCCTTCCTTCCTTCCTTCCTTCCTTCCCTCCTTCCGTCCTCCCTCCCTCCCTCCCTCCAACACTGGAAGTTTTTAAGAAGAGACTGGACAGCTATTTGTCTGAAATGGTTAGGAGGGCTTCCTGCCTGAGCAGGGGGCTGGACTAGATGACCTCTGAGGTCCTTTCCGAGTCTATTATTCTGTTATTCTTTTCCTTCCTTCCTTCCTTCCTTCCTTCCTTCCTTCCTTCCTTCCTCCCTCCCTCCCTCCCTCCCTCCAACACTGGAAGTTTTTAAGAAGAGACTGGACAGCCATTTGTCTGAAATGGGTTAGAGTTTCCTGCCTGAGCAGGGGGTTGGACTAGATGACCTCTGAGGTCCTTTCCGAGTGTATTATTCTGTTATTCTTTTCCTTCCTTCCTTCCTTCCTCCCTCCCTCCAACACTGGAAGTTTTGAAGAAGAGACTGGACAGCCATTTGTCTGAAATGGTTAGGCGGGTTTCCTGCCTGAGCAGGGGGTTGGACTAGAAGACCTCTGAGGTCCCTCCCTTCGGATTCTGACTAGTAAAACATTATTTTCAAAGGGGGAAAAAAAACCCCAAGAAAGCCTAGTTTTTCTTTAGGGAAATGCATTTGGAGGGTGGAGGAATCCCCCAGCAGACGTCGATCCCGAGCCCTTTCCCGCCTTACCTTGGGACAGCGCCGGTTGAGGGTGCGCTGGGAGTCCAGGTAGGTGATCTTTTTCTGCTTCACCTCCACGCAGAGCAGCGACCAGTGGACCTCCAGGTGGATGGGGATCAGGAGGATCTCCTTGTTGAAAATGTCCACCTGTGTGTATGTGTGGGGGGGAGAAACCAGAGGCGCTCAGAAGGGTCTCTCCCTTCTCCCTACCTGGCTGTGCTGGCGGATGGGGGGGGGCTCCCCCAGGACCCGGGGTCTAAAAGCTGCCCCCCCCCCCCGGGCTTTGTCTGGGGACACCGGTCACACCTTGGGGTGAGGGTAGCCACGTCCAACAGAACCCTTCGGGCAGGCTGGACTACAAGTCCCATACCTTCCCCCACAGCTCAGCCTTGGCAACTGACTCGTACTTAGGACGGTCGCAGCGTCCCGGGAGGGGAGGGTCACGCAATCCCCTTTTGCGACAAGCAAAGTCCATGGGGGGGGGGGGAATCTGGATTCACTACTTAACGACCGTACTATTAACTTAATGACCGCAGGGGTTCACTTGAGAAACTGCATCAAGGAAGGCCGTAAAGCGGGGCAAAATTCACTTAACGAGTGTCTCACTTAGCGACGGAAATTTTGGGCTCGTAAATTGTGGTCGTTATGCCGGGGACTACCCGGAGGGGCTTGTATAAGTCGGAAAGCAGAGAGAAAATAAGGTGTGTGTGTGTGTGTGTGTGGAGGGGGGTCTTAACTTTCCTCTCCTCTTTGCAGACACCTTCATGTGATGGCTACGGGTGTCCCCCACTTAGGACTAGGCCAGGGGTAGGCAATCTTGGCTCTTTTATGACTCGTGGACTTCAACTCCCAGAATTCCTGAGCCAGCATGGGGGAACTATGGCCCCCTCATGACTGGTGGACTTCACTCCCAGAATCCCTGAGCCAGCATGGGGGAACTATGGCAATAATCCTCAACAAATAGAGGAAGTCCTTGATTTACGACCACGATTGAGCAAAAAAAAAAAAAAAAAATCCGCTGCAGGCAGTTAAGCGAATTTTGCCGTTTTGCGACCGTTCTTGTCGCCGTTAAGTGAAACTGCGGCTGTTAAAACTAGTAGCGCCGTCGTTAAGTGGAACCTGGCTTCCCCACTGAATTTGCGTGTCAGAAGGTCGCACAAGGGGGTCAGGCGGCCCCTCGGGACGCTGCAACCGTCGTAAATACGAGCCAGTTGCCAAGCCCCCGAATGTTCTGGCCCCGTGACCACGGGGAGGCTGCAAGGGTCGTAAGTGTGAAACACAGTCGTAAGTCACTTTTCTCAGCCACTAAAGGAACTTGTTGTAAGTCAGGGACTATAGTATGTGTAACAAACCACAACCTGGTTACACTATAATCGCACAATGTGAGGGTGGGGTGGGGGGGATTGGGCCAGCTCTTAACGCTGCTCTTTTCTCATTTGAATCTAAGCAAGCCCCCTCCTCAAGAATGACTTCTTCCAATAAACCACCTTGAGGGGGGTTTAAAAGTGGCTTAAGGTGCTGAACGTGCAACTCCTGAGCGTTGTGCTGGTGTGTGTGTTTTTTTTATAATATATATATATTTATTATTTTTTTATAGCCACAAGTCCCTAATATTTTATCAGCAACAGCAACATACTGTCTGAGTTCCAATATTTAACTTACTAATAATACGTGTTAAGTTCCTTTCTCTCTGCCTCGTTTTTTTTTCTAGCCATGGATAAAAGGTATCCTGTGTTCTAAAATATACTGAGTCTTCTTTCTCTTTCATTTTTCAATCTCCACCTGTCCATTTCTGCACAATCTAGAATTTTTTTTTTTGATTCACTCTCCCTCCGTTGGTCATTGTGCGTTTTTTACATGTGGTTTGTTTTTTTTCTCGCTTATTACATGTGGTTTGTTTTTTTCTTTAAATCCGGCCTGGGACTCTGCACGTTTTTGCAAGGATCTGGACGGCAATTTCTGAGGCCCTTCTGGTTATTCACCGCCCAGAGCCCGTCTCTTAGGGAGAAGGCTGATTATGAAAGGCAAAATAAAGACAAATAAACATTCCTTCACCCTCTTTGGCCGGTTACAGGGGGTCCTCGACTTACGAGGTTCGTTTAGTGAGTGTTCAAAGTTACAGCGGCACTGGAAATCCCTCCCAGGTCCCTTCCTACTCTTATTATTGTTATTACTATTACTATTAATACATTTCAGTTTGTCTGAAATGGTATTGGGTTTCCTAACTGAGCAAGGGGTTGGACTAGATGACCTCCAAGATCCCTTCCAACTTTCTTCTTCTTCTTCTTCTTCTTCTTCTTCTTCTTCTTCTTCTTCTTCTTCTTCTTCTTCTTCTTCTTCTTCTTCTTCTTCTTCTTCTTCTTCTTCTTCTTCTTCTTCTTCTTCTTCTTCTTCTTCTTATTATTATTATTATTATTATTATTATTATTACTACTACTACTACTACTACTACTTACTACTACTATTATTATTATTATTATTATTATTATTATTATTATTATTATTATTATTATTATTATTATTATTATATGATAAGAAGCAATGGATGGAAACTGACCAAAGAGAGAAGCAACCTGGAATTAAGGAGAAACTTCCTGACAGTGAGGACAATTAACCAGTGGAACACCTTGCTACCAGAAATCGTGGGTGCTCCATCCCTGGAGGTTTTTAAGAAGAGACTGGACAATCACCTGTCTGAGATGGTGTAGGGTCTCCTGCTTGAGCAGGGGGTTGGACTAGAAGACCTCCAAGGTCCCTTCCAGCTCTATTCTATTCAATTATCATTTATTATTATTGACCATTTTTCACACTTACAACCGTCGAAGCTTGATAATTCACGGGATAAATTCAGATGCTTGCCAAGGGACTCTTATTTATGACAGTCACAGAATCCCGAGATCACGTTTCGCGACCTTGTGACGAGCAAAGTCAACGGGGGGGAAGCCGGATCCCGCTTAACGGCAGTGTCGCTAACTTAACAACGGCGTGGCAAGGAAAACCTGACGAAACGGGGCCAAAGCCCCCGAACGGCCGCCTGGCTTAGCGAAGGGAGAGGCTGGGCTCCGTCGGGTGGCCGTTAAGCCGAGGACGGCCGGCCTGTGGTCTCTCTCCCGCCCCTGGCCGAAACTTACATTTTTGGTCCAACGCTTCACGCCCTCGTACCCCTTGGTTCGTAGCTTATCGTAGAAAAAACTGTTGAAAAAGTGGACCTGGGGGGAGGGAAAAGAGAAAGGGAAAAAGATGGAGGGGCAGATCAAAAGATGCCGGGCACCGATCAAAGCACCCGTAACCAGGCAGGAGGGGTGGGGTGGGGGGCGAGAGGGGGGTGTTGCGCAGGCGAAACGCTTTCGGATTCCGACCGTCGTGCGCACCCCGCACCCTGAATGGACTTGCAAAGGTGGCAAAACCTGGCTCACCTTTTCCGGCACCGTGTCCATCACGAGGTCCCCGTACATGTTCATGACCTGCTCGAAGGAGAGGGGGGGGGAGAAACGAAGGGGTCAGGGTTAAAACGAGGCCGCAACTTAAGAAACCTTCGCGAGGGAAGCCAGCCCGGGGTGGGCCGGGTCGAGTCCTTTCAGCAGGGCTGTATTTTGCCCCCCCTAAGGGTCGGTACCCCCCCCTCCCAGTATTAAGTGGGGGCTCAGGACAGGCAGGCGGTGAACAGGAGAGAGTCTCTGTAGCTCAGGGCTGAACGGTGGGGTCCTGGGGGTCTCTGAGCTGGGTGGGTTTCTTGCAGACGTTTCATGACCCAACTAGGGAACCTCATCAGTGCTACAAGGGAGGAGGAGGACTTGGGGGGGGTTCTTTGACACTCTCTGAATTGGTGGGTTTCTTGCAGACGTTTCATGACCCAACTAGGGAACCTCATCAGTGCTACAAGGGAGGAGGAGGACTTGGGGGGGGTTCTTTGACACTCTCTGAATTGGTGGGTTTCTTGCAGACGTTTCATGACCCAACTAGGGAACCTCATCAGTGCTAGAAGGGAGGAGGAGGAGGAAGAGGAAGAGGAGGAAGAGGAGGAAGGAAGGAAGGAAGGAAGGAAGGAAGGACGGACCCCGGGGTCCTTGGTGCTCTCTGAGCTGGGTGGTTTCCTTGCAGACCTTTCAGGATCCAACTAGGGAACATCATCAGTGCTAGAAGGGAGGAGGAGGACTTGGAGGGGGGTTTCTTTGACGCTCTCTGAATTGGTGGGTTTCTTGCAGATGTTACATGACCCACCTAGGGAACATCATCAGTGCTAGAAGGGAGGGGGGTTGTGGGGAGGAGGAGGAGGAAGAGGAGGAGGAGGAGGAGGACTCAGGGGTCTTTGGTGCTCTCTGAGCTGGGTGGTTTCCTTGCAGACATTTCATGACCCAACCAGAGAACATCATCAGTGCTAGATGGTGGTGGTGGTGGT